AAAATTACAGTTGTTCAAATCATTATATAACTACATATACATGGGAATAACAAAAAGTAGTAAAATTTATCACTGATCTGCGCACGTTGGTTGACTTTTTTTGACGATATTCTTAGCATATGCTAAGAACATGATGCTGTTACAAAATGCTGGTTATCAAAATTAATCTCCAAAACAGATAACTTATTTATTTTGATAATTTCAAAATATTTTTCTATTCAACTACATAGAGATAATCAAATGAAGAAAATTCCCAAAGCCTGTGGAACTATCCAACATTACAAAAAAAAAAAAATCATAAAACAACAGTCTCCTATTCAACTTATATAAACAAAGTAATTGTTCAACTTTACACAATCCTAAACAAGTCTTTTAACTGAAGACTAACTTTATATCTCTGGTCAGTGCAAAGTTTTGTAAATGCGTATATTACAAATATTTTCAATAACACATTAAAAACACTTAAAAATAAATAGCAATGTCTCCGTAAAATAATGAAACAAACATGAATGCCAAAGTGAAGACTAGATGTCATGCCATAGTCATTTGAAATAAATTGTATTGACACACATTTCACTTTGGAAAGAAGAAAGTCCATCTCTAAAAAGATGTTTGGAAATTTATAAGAAATGATCAGCAAATTTACCTTAAAATGGACATAAATCAAAGCTGTATACATTACTGCATTTTAGAATATCTAAAATGAGAATGAAAAAAGCAATATTTTCATTAATTTTTAGGAAATAGCATATGCTGTTGACAAATTCATATGTAAACTAGGATAATTCTAGTTCCAGGATATCGCTGAAATTATTTCTCCTTAAACAGATGTGGGAAAAAAAACCAGCACTTGCAGCATTCTAGACCTTTCATCAGGCCTGACGAAATTAAACGCAGCAAATCATTTTCTTCTGATGATGCTTCAGGTGTATGAGAAAGGCAGATGAAACACTTCTCAAATGTTGTATATAAATGAGTCGTAAATGCTTATACGTCAAAAGTCGTTAATCCGGACTCGTCGGGACTTCGGCGATTCCGGATTATCGATTTTTCCGGATTATAGATCATCAGTTTAAATCTGGTAAGATGGCATGCAGAAATTACAAAATTAAAAATATGAAACCGTAATTTATGAAATAAAGAACAATTATGATCTAAAGGGTATCAAAATTTACAAAAAGAAAAAGCTTAATATTTATTTGTTTACTTTATTAAACATTTCCTTCAATGTAAGTTGCTTTGTTTCATGTGATAATACTTTCTCTTTAATTCTATTAAACAGACATAATTTCTTGTTTAGTTACAAAGTTCCGCTGTTCAAGTCCTATAATTGCTGTGTTGAGAATACCGACTAATTTGTCAATCGAAATGTTTTCGTTTTCAATAACCTCTGGGTCACTTTCTTCACTATCGGAAGCGAATTATAATGACGAGGAACTTGATTTAAATCATATCAAAGACGGAGATGAAATACTACACTTAGTACGGAATTATAAACCAAATAAAATAAAAACATCTGCCCTGAAGATAAGGATAGTGCTGACAGATCAACTTCCAATCCGCGGCGTGAAATTGATAAACAGATTTCGGATTTCAAAACATACTTTCGCTTTGTAGATACAAATTACATATTAGTAAATATATATCGAAAATTCTATTTGACATAATCTTTCTAATCTATCATAATTTAATAATGACGTTTCTGCCCCCCCTCTGCCGCAGAGCAGCGTGAAATTGATAAACAGATTTCGGATTTCAAAACATACTTTCGCTTTGTAGTAAATATATATCGGAAATTCAATTTGACATAATCAAAAGTTCAAGCTTACTTTTATAAAATTGCTCTAACAGTCTGCAAAAAATAATAAGCCGGATCCAATTCGAAGATTAAGGAACAACGCAATCTGCAACATTAACTGAATTAGATAACTTTTAGCTTAGCCGTATACTTCCGTTACACATTAAACGCGCATGCGCAGAAACATATTCGCAGCCGTAAGAGTCTTACGCGCTCTCATAAACGCCTGTGCGCATGCGTAAATGCGACGCATGCGCAGAAAGTTTGTAGCTTTGAGGTCCGGATTATAGATCATTCCGGATTATGGGTGTCCGAATTAACGACTTTTGACTGTATTATGCCAAGCAGTAATAGCTTTAGGAGCCATGACAGTGTGATGGCCCAAGTACTGAAGTACTTTTGAGTACTGAAGATTCAAACTAGGGTCAAACTACCAGTATCCAGCAACTGTATTGCTGAACTGCTTGTGAACTTGAACAAAAGTATGAATATCTTGTTAGTGAAACCCATAACGTAAGAAAAATGGCACACTTGATAAAATGTTCAAGATTAATGGTCGATTTTGTTATGAATCCCATGGTTCTGACATGTTTTAAATATACTCCTTCCACGTGGATAGAAGCTGAATGATCATTGTCCTGCTTACTACAGATATAACCTTTCAATGTATAATCTGAAGGAAAGTTTAGGTTATTTGAATATGGCAAAGCATACCAGCTGTTAACCTGAAGAAGGATGCCTTTATGAACATTCTAAGGGAAACTGGCTTGTATTTGCATTACATATGAGGAAAACTAGAAAAATCAACCATGCAGCCAGCCCTTTAACCATGATATGAACACACATCAAACTACCAGTATTCAATGGTCTTAAGCACTAGTAGGAAAAATCTAAAAAAATGCTTGCAATATCATGCAATCAGAAATTCATTAAATGTTGCACAGCAGGATTACTTTTTCAAGTGTGGGGATGAGAATACTTAATTTTGTTTTTGTTTATATAGGTATTTGGTCATGGTATTATTCATTACATATATTCTCTGTTGTTCATACAGATACTAACTATTTTAGTACATTTAAAAGTGTCTTTTTCATTAAGTGCTTTGCTTGTCAATATTCCCAAAATTGTTGTTTCATATGTTAAGTGCTACTGTACATATAATAGATTAATGGATTCATTACAGAATAATACATTTCAAATATCCATTTTATGCAAGCAATTTTCAAAGTTATTTTTTGAATTTACTTGCTGATAGCTTAAAATATTTTATTTTGAAAAAACTGCCTTTTTCACAATAAACTGGACATTGCCAAGAATCTTCAGTAATATTCAAATCCTTTAGAGTAGCATTGTAAATAAAACTATAAGAACATTATACATTTTGTTATCTTTCAAAAGTCAAACTTTGATTAATTACTCAAAGCAGTGGTTTACTAACTTTGATGAGACCAATATAAAGTACATCTTAAAAATTTTTTTTTTTTTTAATCTCATCTCAGAGAACCAATAATATTTTTTTTATTCATTATTACTTTCTTTATTTCATTCTAATCATCTATCATATACTATAAACACCTAGCATCCTCTGTAAAGGTAATTGCTAAGATACATTAAAAATATGTCAAATTTTTAAGCATGAAAAGTGATTGTAATTCCTTATTATTAGATCAATAAATATAAAAATAAAACTTAATTATTTAAAACGTAAACCTTATTATATGTGGCAGCCCACGTTAATCATGTTTTAGGACTCGGGTACCCTATGGTTCTGAGTGTTTAAAGTCTTTTAATTATTAAGAACACAGTCATACTACTCTAAACAGGCATGTTACCAATTATCAATAAGCCCCCCCAATTATCATTCATCCGCCGTAATTTTCACCTGCTCATCCGGTAGTGATGCACCACCAGCCAGCGGCAAAACGGAGCATGCACAGAACATACGAGAACAGATTCGTTGTCTAAGCGCTTGAAGAATCAGGTTGCTACCTATGACAAACCGAATTCGCCAGGTTACCAGCTTTTGAACTGTTATCGCCAATTTTGACGATGTTTACATTTAACGGATCCTCTGCGGAAGTGCTTCCAAAAATTAAATTTTAAACAGGATGTACACAATGAACTTTCAAGTTTTTCATATCAAAACCAGTCTTTGTACAGCAATGGCATAAATAAGCTGCCTGTAAGATGGCAAGACATTGTAGATAATGGAGGAAAATATATAATTGATTAAATTGTTAATTTGTGTTTTTTTATATTTAAAAATTTAGCAAAAAAATGTGCAAAAATTTATGGACTGACCCGATACTATATACAACTCCAAGATTAGGAACTGTTGGGGTTTTAACAATTCTAAATTTTAGATCATCTATTTAAATCTAGTAAGATATTTATACAAAGCAACATTAGGATATCCTTTATTGTTTAGGTCAGAGAGAAAATTATAATCCCCCACAACCGTTCAAAGCCTGAAAGTGTGACCCTGGCTAACATCAATACAAGGTTCCTTTCATTGGCCAAAGTGCCAATGAAACTGTTCCTAACTTATGTTTCAATGCAACATGCAGGAATATCAGTTAGTTGAGAAAAATCACATTTACCCCACACAAGGTTCATATCATTAAGGAAGCAGGTATTTTAATCAATATTCTTCATGCTTAGATTCTTTTACATCAGTTTATTTACTCATTTTTTGGATGGTGGTTCAAATATTGGATCCCGGGATTTCAGACTTTGCACCGTATTACTTCAAAATATGGATAAAATACTAGGAGAGCCCACACCCTTGGCAAAAAATCTCGGAAAGTGCACACTGCTTCGCACATTTCTCAAAATTGCCAACTTGAAAATAACAAACAAGTCAAAGAATTGCACAAACTCAGTATCCATGTACACATCGACCTATTTTCACTTAAAAAAACATCAGAGAATTACACAAACTTGGCATCGTACACTACCTTGACTTTGTCTATGTACACATCGATATGTGCCATAACCAAAATCATTGGTGCCAAGAGTGTGGGATCTGCTAGGATCCAACCCGAAGTATGTTAAAACAATTTTTTTAGGACTGTAGAAGCTAGAACACTTTATGAGAGAATGAAATAATTGTTTAATATAGATTTTATATCAGTTACTTGCTTCTCGAAATAATGACAGCGAGAACTAATATTACACTTTTGCTTATATCATAAAAGACAAATTTATAGAAATTCAGATACTTTATTGCATGTTACTTGACTGTTAATAGTCACATAAATGTTTACATAATATTATATACTTCACAAACAGTCAACTTCTACAGGATATGACAGGTTTTCCACAATTTTGAAGGTTTTTCTTTAAAGTAATTCATAAAGTACTGCAGTTAGGATGAAGGAACCTAGTTTATTTAACACTTCTAGTATGCTTAAATATTTAATTATTACAAAATGTTCTTAATTACTGAGGTTATTAACTAAGATCGTGCATACTGCAATATATCAGATTACACATTGATGACAGTGATAAGCTGAACTTTAAAAATAAAGTTTATAGCATATATATTATGAATGCAATTTTATAATTTACATGTAATCAGATAGAAATATGGCAATGCGTACAGAATTGTTTTCATATAGAAGAATTTTAAATCAACTCAAAAAGATACAGTTAATTATAGTTACTAAAATTTATATCATGACATTCACAGAAAAAAAAAATAGCTTTTCAAACAAATGTAAAAACATTCAAAAAATGTTTCACTTTCATTTTTTTTCAATAACAAATTTAAAGTTAGAAGTTAGAAAAAACGGCAAAAAAAATCCAGTCCGGAGTTTTCGTATTAGGCTAAAATGTAGTAATAAAATACATAATGAGAAACTTGACAATTTAAATACAACATACAAATATATGGCTATCTATTCTTTATGTACACGTCCTGCGATGAATGCAGAAACTGCGTTTGCTACCCTATGCACAACGGTAAATGACCGAAGAGGCTGACTGTAATTCTGCACTTCACTGTCAAATGTAATAGCACTGCTTACAACATAGATAGGAAACAAAGCAGAAAATATGCATACACTGTTAAGATATGAACTTGCACATGATGACACTAGAGCTAAAGGCAATCCATACCCTATAAAGTAGGGCCACTTTGCGTCAATATAGAAGAGGCGCTTTTTAAGAGGCCATCTCATATGTACCCATTTGTATTCAAAAGCATACAAGGAATATAAAAGTGACATGTGTAAATTTGATATAAAATACTGAAGTACTTTAGGTATGGGTAACAAGTACACAACGTACGCTTGTGTGAAAAATAAAAGTTGAACGAAAGCACTTAACGCTTGATCACTCACAGAATACGTAAAGCTAAAAGGGGTTTCTTTTTTCATTCGAGTATCTTCATACGTTAAATCTGCAATTTCTTGATACCAAGAATAATTTAATAGTCTGCTAATAAAAAATAACGGCACAATCCAACATATGAAGAACATTAAGTACATAAGTTTTGGTAACCACCATAGCGCTTTAATTTCATCCATATCTAAAAACAGTCCAAAATATCGGCCAGAGAAATTAAGAATGCAATATTCAAATAACCAATTCGCAGCACAAAATAAAACACCAAACATAACACACTGCATTAAAATATCCAAAACATTGCCACTTTTGTCCTCTCTCGTCTGCTTTGCAACAGATTTTGTTGAATAATTTTTACTACCCTTTCGCAAATTCCAGAAAGCTATTACAATATTACACATAGAATCTTTCACACCACGTAACATTAAAAATATAATAGTCTTAGCGGCCTCCATAATTCAGAATTTTATTGCTAACATACACAACCAAAAAACTTATGCATTATTTCACACTCTACTACAGCAAGTAGGACAGAAGACAGGAAAGAATTACGCATGATATGAATTGAAATGAAGTGAGGATGAGTCTTGTCTAACGACCACGGAGTATCATCTAACCAATTAATGTGTTCCTTTGCCCACAGTAGTTTTTTTTTTTTTTTTTTTTTTTTTTTTTTTTTCCCGTTGCTGAAAATTAAGATAAGGCTTTTTTCGTTGGATTCTACCTCTCAGTGCAACATCTGTTAATCTTCTCCTGATTGATCTTGAACTGACAGAAACACCAGCATCATTCAGATCACTTCTGATGGCCGCTGATGACATTTTTCTATCTTGGAGACATAGTCTTTTTATTCTTCTGTCATCAATAGATGTGGTGCACCTTTTTCGGCCTTTTCCTTCTTTGTTTTTTTATTGAATTTGTCTCCTGATATCGTAAACAAAACTTTCGGACAATAATATTACATCTCTTTCTAGGTGTCCAATCTACTCTTTTATTTCATGTCATTGCTTCTTGACTAAATATTAAAAATTTTTTACAAAAATTCCTACTTGTAATTGCAATGTATGAAAAACAGGTCCTCCTTCTACAGAACAAAGCAAAATAATGAATTGTTTCAAGTGTAAACATGCTGTCAGCTTCTACTGGCAGTTACTAACATTTGATTGGTTCTCAGAACAAGAACAATGATTGGCCAGGAAAGCTAGACTTTAGAAACCACTTCATAACTGTGTTTTTTATTTATATTAAAGTACATATAACTTTTTTTGTATTGCAAATAATTGAATTTTGTGTTTTGTATTGAATTCAGTAATAAATTCTCTTTAAAATGAAGAGAATACAAGTTTGCATTTTGCGAAACGTTACATTTTCAATAAGCATACAAAGTTCAAAAACATAAAAATTTCCAAGTGTCCACAGTTTTGGCCGCCACTGTATATATGTTTATAAGGTCCATGTTCGCGCATGTGAGCGTATGTTGTTTACGTTTTAATTTGCATTTGTTCCGCAGTTATAAATATATGGCGTTATAGTAGAAAATCACGTAGTGCTTTCGTTTACTGAGTTTGATTAATCCCTGACATTTCATTTTCGCGATTTTTATTACGTATTAATATTAGGATTAATGTTTACGGCATATTGTGTAGATAAAGAGAATTCAAATATATATAGTTTTTAATTCAGCTGAAAATGACCGAAAGTGTTACAATGAATCGAGTGTTTTCTTATTTCAGTGCTTGCATTCTTTTGATTTTAAAGTGTAAAATTCAAAATACATATGATCTGATTATATCCGTTGTTAACATTAAAAATTATATGCGAATAAACTGAATATACTCGTTGTAAATACCATAAATTCACGCTGTTTGATGAGTATTTCTTGTATAGACAGTACATTTAAGAGTGATCAGTTATTAAATACAAAATTTAACAACTATGGTTCAGTGACTACATCTGGAGTCCGAAAGTTTTGTTTACGATATCAGGAGACAAATTCAATAAAAAACAAAGAAGGAAAAGGCCGAAAAAGGTGCACCACATCTATTGATGACAGAAGAATAAAAAGACTATGTCTCCAAGATAGAAAAATGTCATTAGCGGCCATCAGAAGTTATCTGAATATATAATAATATACGAATGCAAGTTAGTAAAGTTGACTTTGAATAAAATTCTGCATTGGTTATTATTATAGAATATTTTTTCCATATAATAAAATGTGCTGACTTCTTTTTACTATATAATTGGTGTAAATATTTTTTATTAAAATATGTTAATAAAAATAATAATAATATAATATATAGTTTAGATAAGTTCTGGCAACCGTGAGTATTGTCGTCATCAGGAGATCGTGCTTCGCGATACTGTCGTTAAAAAAATAGCTATAGTTTGTAATTCCAATAAAAAGCATTTTTGCTCTGCTATTTGTTTTCTCTCTATTTTTAGAGTACCTTTTTAGGTTATGTATTTTTTAAGAAATACTTTTTTATTTTTCTGATACGCATAGTTTTATGTAAAGATTGCATTTGGGCTCATATGTTTATCACATATTTCTTTCTTCATCTTATTTACAACTTTATTAAGTAATATTCCACATCGATATTTTTGCGCAATATGCAACATGTGCTTGTATTTATTTCAACCAGGTAGTGAAATCTTTATAATTTTCTATAATTGATTTAACTTCGCAATGAAAAGTTTCAGAAGCAATCGACGATATTTTAATTATTTTGTACAGAAAATTGCGTGGCAGAATATTTTCAACCATCTTGCTTAAAGCCAACGACTTCATATAACAGTATTTATCTCGTTGGCTCCACCGATTTGTGACGTCACAAGCAAAGGCGATCGTTTCTACTAGCGTATTTCCAAACCCTACCCCCACTTTTCGAATTTTTGACGTCACGGAAATATCGACTAGTCTCACCTTCACCTAGAGCTACTAGAAATAGATCTCTTCATAATAGCCTTAGGCGAAACTAGTCCATTTTTCCATGACGTCAAAAATTCGAAAAGTGGGGTAGGGTTTGGAAATAGGCAACCAAAATGGGTTGGATAGAACATTTTGTTTTCTCTCTTCCCTAACCGAGATGGGTTGGAAAGACCATTTTGTTTCCCACTTCACCAAGATTGACTGGGTTTATTTTTTTCTCTCTTCTCGAAGCAAGATGGGTCAGAGCAACCATTTTGTTTCCCAACTCACCAACCATTTTATGCTTTCCTCTTCTCGAACCAAGATGGGTTGGAGCCAAGGTCCGTAGAAAGAACAGGTTAGCTCACTTGGGGTAAACAAACGAAAATACGTTCTCGCTGTCTATTGGCTGTGACGTCATTGAAGTTTTCTCTGCTCAGATCAACAAAGATTTTTGCATTGATTCAAGCTGAATGTAAGCTTGTCCGCGTATGTGGAAACCATAGATTACTATATCTATGGTTGAAACTCATTCGTTTCTCTTTTTTTTTCCTCTCAAATATAATTAAATTTATGTAGCATAATGGTTGGTACGCACTGCGCGATTGCATTATGCACCAATAATGCAGGCAAAATAAAAAATAATCAGCAGAATGTATTATTTCATAGGTATAGAAACTTACAGTGTGTTTTGATTTGATGCAACTTATTTTGAATTTTCGGGTTACTTAAATTAATTTATTCATTAATATATATAGAAACTTCTATGCATTTTATTAGGTGTATTTAAATGCCAACGGTTTTGAATATTGTTGTGAATTGTGACAGATGCATATAAATATGCTTAAATAGTTTTAAATTATGTGTATGTAGCTCACTGCATTAAATAACTCGTGTTACACATGGAAAAATGGCCATGCAACCAGCCTTTTCTCCAGGAATTGAAGTCAAACCACCAGTGTTCAGCTGATGAGCCTTGTCAATTACTTAGAATTTGAGCCTATTGTACTGTTAATATGGTACATGCCAGAAATACAATATCATTAATACACGGGATACATATAAATAATAAGAAGGACTAACAACACCGCAGAGTACAGAAAGCAACATAGAAGTCCACAATTCATTTGGCGAGCAAATTAAGTTGTATTATTATACTTAAGGCTATCAGTTCTGGATAATTTAGTTACAGTAATTTTGCAAAGATAGTAAAGCAGTTCCTTCAGCAATATTAATTTTCTAATTAATAAGGCTCTTTTCTTTCATATTATTTGAAAACAGAGTAATACACAGCATGCATTTAAATGCAATCAAAATTTAGAAACGTTTAAAAAACAAATATGCTAAAATTCTTGTAAAATATAAAATTTCATTTTCTATCTGTACTTATAATTTGTTATGATTTGTATTATGAATGAATAATATAACTTAAGCAAATATTTTATTTATTATAGTTTTAAAATTTGCATTCCATTACTATACAGTGCACCATGATATATTTCATACAAAATTTTCATTTATAAAATTAAGATCCATATTTACTAAGATTTTGTTGAATGTAGTGTTTAAAATTTAGTACCAAATTTTGACTTTTGCATTTAATTATATAAATTTACCTGCAGAATTGCAAAATATATTTGCTAGTATCTACGAATGTAATCATTATGTCTGTGGGGATATTGTACACAGGTCATCATATTAAATAAACATCCACCCTTTTTTCCATGTGTTCACAGAAAGTACGATGACAGTCAAATGACGTTAAGAGAAACTGCATAATGTATTTATGAGTGTATTTATTTAAGTGTATGTTAAATAATATTTTTCCACAACTAAACTGATAACTCTAATTTTTTTTTCATTCATAGAATGGTTAAACTGAATATGCTAAATGAAATGTAATATTTAAGTTATTATATAAACATATTTCTTTTTTGATACCAAAACAAACACATACAGCATTCAGTCATATTAATATCTGCCCACCAGCGGACGAGCGGTAAAGTCGCTGAACACTGGTAGTTCGGTCCGAGGTTCGAATCCCGCGAACGGGCTGGCTGCATGGGCGTTTTCGTGGTTTCCCCATGTGTAACGTGTATACGAGCCATTTTCCCTTAGAAAGTTCTCCACGAAGGCATTTCTCCCTTCAGGGGCATAGCCCTCGAGGCTTTGCCATAATCACAAACACCACACCACCTATTAATATCTGGGATTTACTTCTCTGAAATAAAAAATGAGGATGACAACAGAAAATGACTACGTGTTTCATTTCGTTATTATTTTATAAATTAAACAATACATAAGTGAAATAAATATATAAACCTAAAAGATAAAATTCTAAATATACAATATTAATAAAACGAAACACAATAGAGGATATGCAACTATTCTTTTAATATCTTTTAATCATTATTTTATATAAAAAGTTAACATCTTCTATCTGAATACTTTATTGGAAATTTTTATTTTTTATTTTTGCTAAAAAGTAAAATTCAAAGGATTCAAAGAATTAAGATTTAAATTAAAATTAAGTCTCCAATTTTTTATATAGAATTACATAGCAATGCAACTGCTGATTTTAAAGAGTCTGCTGATTAAGTATTACACTTCCTTTCAGTTATAGCTTGAATAGTTCATTTGTTTATGTTTCTTGTTGCTGCTTTACATCAAGAAATTACAAACAAGTTTTAGAATCTAGCGACTTATAATTTTATTGCCATTTCTTTTTTTTTAATCTATTAAAATTAATCATATATTACAGGAAAAGTTCATGCGAGTTTCATCTGAAAAAAAAAAAAAAAAAAAAAACAAAAACAAGTAAACTAAGATTTCTAAATGAAACAAGTACTACTGCAGAAACAATTGGACCGAAAGTAGGCTTTAGCAAATAAATTAAAATTAATTTAAAATTTCAGCCAAATTAGATTCCCAAACATTAGGGACAAGTTTGTACAGCTTTAGAGAAAATATTCTTAATTTGAATTTCTTCTATAATCGCTACACTCAAGGCTTAATTTCTAAAATTAGAAGTGCCCGGAAACCTATGAAAGGAAGGCCGTTAGTAAAGAGGAACAAGAGTAAATAAATAAAATCATTTAATCAAAAAATTAATTATTATAAAATTAATAAATAATTATTTAATTTAAATAGAGCAATTAATATTTATTAATTATTATATAACCATTAATTAATAATTGATTATTATTTTATTAAAATAATTCAATAAAATGTAAAGAGGTAAATTAACATTTAATAAGCGATTTTTAATATAATTTTATTGCTGCTAAAAATAAAATTTTTGAGATTAAATTTCTACTGAAATTGTAGTTCCGTTAATTACATAAAAGAAGTGCCGGAGCCTTCTTATGTAGAGCTCCGATGCGCTCCGGCTAGAATTATAATTTATCCCATGAACTGAAAGGTACCGGAGCCGGCACAATTTAAGCTCTGACTACACTACATATTTTCCAGTTCTTGTGAAATGTGGGTTTTCAGTCTGTTGAAGCTAAAATGAGTAACGGTATAAACACAGCTGAATCTTGAATAGGAAATTCTGTAAGGAAGTTTGGAAGATTTTTGGTGAAACAATAAATTACTGAGGGAACTTTTCGTAATTAAAACTTATTCTATATAGTAAATAATATTTTAGGTAGTTAAGTTTAAACTCCAAATATTAGAATTTTTACTTTCCGATGAAAAACAGAAAATATTTGAAAAGGAAATACGAAACTACTATTAGGAGATGCTACAGCGAACTTCAGTGACGTCACAGCCGAACGAGTCGCTGGCTTTTCGTTTGTTTACTCCAAGTGAGCTAACCTGTTCTTTCTACGGACCTTGGGTTGGAGCAACCATTTTGCTTCCCACTTCCCCAAGATGGACTGGGTTTCTTTTTTTCTCTATTCTCGAACCAAGACAGGTTTGAGCGACCATTTTGTGTTTTCTCTCCGCACCAAGATTGACTGGGGAGACCATTTTGTGCTTTCACTCTTCTCGAACCAAGATGGATTAGAGAAGCCATTTTGTTTCCCACTTTACCAAGATTGACTGGGGCGACCATTTTGTGTTTTCTCTCCTCTGAAAACTAGATGATTTGAGCGACCATTTTGTTTCCCACTTCACCAAGATTGACTAGGTTTTTTTTTCTGTCTTCTCGAACCAAGACGGGTTCGAGTAGCCATTTCGTTTCGCTCCTCACCAAGATTGACTGGGGAAACCATTTTGTTTTTTCTCTCTAATCGAACCAAGACGGGTTGGAGCGACCAGTTTGTGTTTTCTCTCCTCACCAAGATTGACTGGGGATTTCACTCTTCTCGAACCAAGACTGGTTTAAGCAACCATTTTGTTTCCCACCTCACCAAGATAGGTTAGAGTAACCATATTGTTTTTTCCACACCTAACCAAGATTGAACCATTTTGTTTGTTTACCACCTAACCAAGATTACATGAGCCACCATTTTGTTTCTGACCTGAAAAGTATATGTTCTGAATGAGTTCCGGTGTTCGAATACTTTTGTAACTGACTGTACATCCGTCCCATTAAAATTATGACTATTTTGTGATTGTCATTGTAGAAGTTACGTTATGTTATTAATGTTTAATTTTAATTATATTACGACTCTTGTCATATTACTATGCAATATACAATGTAAATAATTAATAGTATAATAGTTACATATTTGAATAAATACAACACAAAAAATAAGCTTTTTTTCTTTTTCTTTTTACCATTCCGAATGGGGAGTTTTCTAAATGAAATAAGTGAGCATTGATTGGTTCCTTGTGCTGTGAGTAGATGACAAAAAAGTAAAGTTGGATGGAATCACGTTTTTGATTGGCCTACTTTACTTTTTTGACATCCACAATCAATTAATTAATTAACCAATCAATTCTCACTTTTTTTCGAAAACTATTAATTCGTGGTTGGACTCAGCCGCAACGCAAATTTTCATAGTTAGATTTAAGGCTCCATTATATCTTTTAGAGGAGCCTTAGTTAGACCTAATTTTCACATTTTTTGTCGAGTTTTGGAATATGGTAGAAATGTAGCTGCAGGGAGGTCTACTGGAACAAGCTAAATTTTGGAAGTGGTTTATGAGAAAAAAGTCTGGGATTTTCTGATTTAATATCTTTAAATATAATACAGGGCGATAATATTTGGTGACAACACTTTGAAAATTGAACCGACATTTAAAGTTTTCAACGCAAAATGCCAAAACGAAATTAATAGCCCTTTGAGCTAATAATACTAATTCTTCACTGATTAACAAAATATCATTAAACCAAAAAATGCGCTAAAAATTGCATTTCCCCCAAAACTGTTATACTCAGAATCATGTAAATCATATATTTGTTTAAAAACGTATTTGTTGAACATGTATTTATTAAAAAAAAATAAATGTTTTATATTTCAAATATCTTCTAGTACACCGTACTGTAATCAAATACATGTTTTAGATTAAAAATAAGTCAAACGAATAAAAGCTTAATATATAAATAAAGGTATTTCAGACCACTTATTTAATATTCACTTATTTATTTGTTGCCCAGGCACCAGAGAGCTATTATTTTCTGCACATAAGCGAGCATATTTTCCTTTTCTCCCTAGCACTTATTCCTCACATGATATTTACTTCCATTGGCATAATGAAATGTCGCCCATATCCTTAGAGGAGCCAAGTTGGCGCAACTAAGGCTGTTCTCCGAACCTTATCCCACACCCTGTTCTAGATTATAATAAAATGTTAAAGGAAAAGAACTGTAACTACCTCTAGAAGCTCCCTGAGAGTTGAATTGTTAGTTTCCTGAAAGTTTGAAACGTCAAAATGTGGAATGCCAGTGGGAAACGTTGATGAAGGTTCTGTTAAGGTTTTTAAAACACATCTAGTTTATGATGAGTTCAACTACTCCAGAAGCATGTTATTTAGCGTTGTTAGCTTTAGCAGAGGAGTTTCGTACTATGAATCCTCCGAACATTCGCAACTGCATTCAATGCTTAGTTGCAATTTTTAATTTAAAGCAACCTCCTAAGATTGAAGCAAGAACACATTTACAACTTGGAAATATTTTACTACAGCATACTAAAAATACAGATCTTGCACAGTCACATCTTGAAAAAGCGGTATGCAGTATTGTTATCTATACATAACATGATGCCCTGTATTGCATAAAAAGTATTTGAAATGGATTAAAATATTGCACAAAAATTATTAGAATATTGGTTGTTTTTTTTTTAACTGAATTTATTAACGTTTCCTTTTTTTGTATTAAAATTTATTTTAAAAATGCTACAATTGAATATAATGGTTAATGTGATATTTTGTTTTGTACATGTCAATGTTATCCGTTACGACTGTTTTGAAACGAGGAAATATAAAATGAAAGTTTTTCTAGTCGTTTTTTGTTGTTATCATGCGGGAGATTCGCATACTGAGTGCTCTTATAAATAGGTTCAATTTTGAAAGTATAATCTTACATAATATTCTGTTGAAAATCTTATTGTGAAATAATTGTTTAACTTTACAGTTGTAACTAACTATATTATTAAATAATATATGCCCTAAATTATAACTGTTCCATTGTTTAATCACATAGTATGTCATAAATATGTATTTGACTAAAATTTAGTGATATTCATTTGACTAGCAAACTGAAGGTAACTGAAGTTGATAGTTGCTGTAAGTTCTGTTTAATGATCAATGGCATATTTATGCAATATAAATATTTGGGCTGTTATTTCTTTAAGAATCATCCACAAAGGTCTGTGCTTTAGAAGATTATTAGTAAAGTGTGTTGCATTTTTGGTGACTTCTGTCTCAGATTTGAAAATGTACTGATTCACGAGTATACTTTTGAAATGAGTTTTCCTAACTTAAAGATCCTAGGCATACTTATAGTTTATTACACATTCATACTGTTTTGCTTTGAATCTGGGAAGGGATTTAGAGGCTGCTTCAGTTTTCTGATTATTCAATTGATTCTGAATCTGTTGATGATGACAGACTTAATATTAACCATGATCTTTGAATATATTGCTTTTAGATTTTTAAATATAATTGTGGATATTATATTTCCACTTACCTAGTAATACTGAGTCTTTGGATTTACTACTGCAGACACTCTGGAAAACACTATAAAAAGTGGCAATAACAGTTCAAATATGCTAATCCCGTTGATGTGTTGTTCATAATTAGCAACCATTTCTCTCATATTCCTCTCCCTTTTTTCATTGTTTGATGATGTAATATTACAATAATTATTAATTATCATCATTTTTACTGTTGTCATCATCACTGTTTGCACATACAATTTATTTTCTACTTAGTTGTATTTTGTCTGATTTCTATGCTATCTTTTCTAAAAATGAAGTTACCAAAAAGTGATCTTCACACAAAAAAAAAAAAAAAAAAAAAAAATTAGCAAATTACTTTTGAATTCTTGTTTTGGCATGAAATTAAATTAATGGTCAAGATTCAGTCACGAAAGTTTCAAATGCAATTAAAGACTGCTTCTCTGTGGATAGTATCTCCCTAACTGTTTTTTTAAGGGGGGGGAGGACTTTTAAAATCTGATGAAAAGGAAATGAAATATTTCTATGTATAAGTATACAAATAATTTTAAATTTATTTGTGATAAAATAATTTATTAGAAATTGATTTCAGTAACTAAATTTATTCCTACGATTCTCAGCCTTTCTTGTTCCATAGACCCATTCACCATTGCTAGAAGATCATTCTTCCCTTCATCTTTCCAGACTCAAAAATTATATATACATTCATTCCGATTTAGATTATTTTTATAAATTAAATATTAAAAAATATAGAAACTATCGATAAATGTCGAAACTTAAAAACAAAAGTAGTTTTTGGTATTCATAAACTAAAACTAAATACTTAACACCTAAACAAGAGGCTGATCACATCCTTACCCCCCCCAAAAAAAGTATGACTTTTTTTTTTTTGAGTTGAGAACTCCTGGTGTACTCATTCTATCTTTAACTTACATGTGATTAATGCCATGTTTTTTTCCTGCTAATTTATGTATTCCAAATATCATGTTTAACAAATTTTGGTTAATCTTTGGATTATGGTAACTTGGCGATTTTTGGCGAAAATTTGGCGACCAACTCTGCTACAGCAACCCTCGCCATTTTGCCATTTCGCCGCCATTTTGTCTTCACGAAGTAAAGACATGTTTCTTTTCTTTTTATTTACTCAACACTTTTTCCAACAATCTGCTAGCCAAATTACACTTATGCTAGAAATTTTATGGAACAAAACTGCTTAATCATGACAAATATTAACTGCAAAATTGGGAAAAAGTGCAGAATTGCAAACTCCTTGCCGCGTTTTTCAAAATCGCATATACACAGTAACCATGTACACGTTGACTTATTTTTACTTAAAAAAAATCCCAGAATTGCACAAAAATGGCATTGCGCACACTCTTGACTTTATCCATCTACACTGCTATTTTCTCATAAATTACAAAAATTTGCAGGAAAATTTTGTGAATCTTTAAACTCGGTAAAAAGCACATATATGAAATTACCTGATCGCGAAAAAGTATATACCCTATCCAAGGATGAACATTTCCACGTATAATATAAATAAAACATCCAAAAACTTTTACCTCTAAATTATCTATTATAAACGTCACCAACGAATTCATAACAAAACATTAAAAATGGTTACAAATACTTAGTGTCAAATATTAAAATTCTTTCCACGCACATTTACTTCTACTCAAACGTATTCCAAAATACTACAAACATATAACTCTCAAAATCACGATCATTAAATTAAAATATAATTAAATTAAAAAACACTACTTAAAATATAAATAAGCACATACATTCAATTAATAAAAATTAGGTTACAATCCTAATTACCTTAAACTAAATCATTGCTAATAACAATTTTCCAATAATACCATATTAATTTATTTACTCCTTACATTTAGAAAAATGCATAAAATAATATCCTCAAATAATTAAAAATACTAACTTACCTAATCTTCTACAGAATCTTGAGTGCATGGCGGATCACAAAATGTCCATTTTCACTAAGATTTCTTGCACCGCCATTCAAACTTATCTGTAATATCCTTCCTTTCACACAATCTCTCTTTTATCTCATTTCATTCCCACATGTTAAAAAATTCATACTTATCCGCAATTAAGCAATTCTTTTCAATTACACATAAATGCAATAAAAATTTCGGATTTACTTTATATACGGCCATGGGATCCAAATATTAAACAACACTGTTTCACAGAACATAGAATGAAACTAATGGTATAAAGTACAGCAGATATTTTTACAAATTTACCCCTTTTTCCGATTAAAGAACAGTGATTCGTCCATTAATGTCACATGACATATATCATGATCTCTCATTTCCCTCACACAAAATAATGTGTAATCGGAACTGAGTACTTCTCACGTTATTCCCAAAGTCCTAGGTAGTAACCTTTATTGCCTCCAAAATGTCGCCAAACTACCTGTTACCATATTCCAAAGATTAGCCATTGATTTTTATTTACATATGCTTAACATCATGTGTTTTTATTCTAACCTTAATTCATATATAGTAAATACCATGTTTGAAAAGCTAAATTTGAACTTAGAATGATTTATTTCTTGTTTATCCTACTAATTTTATGCTTAATGTCATTTTTTTTCCCACGACTTAACACCAGCTTTTCTTAACCATGTATAAATTTGTCTTACATATGCTTAATGTCATACTTTTTTGTCTAGTTTTATTTTATATGCACTAAATATCAAGCTACATTTGATTTGTATATGCTCATTATAATGCATTTTCTATTAACTTTATGTTGGATATTATTTTTATATGCCTAACAATAGCCTAATCATTATTGCTGAAGCTATAGCCAATTAGAGGTTGGTGATTAAAAAAATACACTGTTGCCAACGGGTGCCTTTTCTTTTTTATACTCTCGTTGAACTTGTAGTATATCATATCTGCTCTTAGACCTGCTTTTGCTGATGTAACTTTTTTTGTTTTAATTTTATTATTAAACATCCCTTTCTTCACATTTATGTCACATAAAATTCAACAGCAAAATCACAAAATATTTAAAAACAACATGTTTTCAGAATTCCTGATCCAGTGTTAAATGTTGCCATACAATTTTTTTGCCCCCTCAAGGACTATTATTCTCAAACCTCACTTTTATGTTGAATCACTTTTTAGATAACTAACTGCTAGCTCAGCCAGTTGCATAAAATAGTAATGATAAAAAAGAAAAAATATATATAATGCTTTTAATAATCTAGTTGAATTTCACGAGTCCAGCTAATATAATGAAAAAGGTAAAGAATTGTGCTTATTGCCTCTAACTATTTTAGTTTGTTAATCAGTAATGCACAGATTAAATTCAAAAGAAAAAATTAATATCTTTATAATTGATGAATATGGTATTAATCATGTGCCAGTTTGATACCATATTCATCAAACGGCAACAAACTGGCATGTGGATGTTAAAAATATTTTGTATTGGATATCTTTTAATATTCCCAGTAAAGTATTAAATGTTGTGATACATATTTTATATGTCCACTATATTATTTCTTTAAAGTTAATGCACAGAGAGGGAAAAATATATTTCGGGGTCCCCCTTGGCGAAAATTGACAATTGGCTCCATTCGTGTTTACGTGCCCTCTCAAGTAAAATGGCATAATGCAATAAAACATAAAAAAATTTCAATCTCAATAAACTGCATATTAAATCAAAATAAAAGAAGAAAATAACATAAAAATGGAAATTCATGTTATCTAATCTGTGCAGCACAAAAAGGAAATATCAATGTACTTTATTCAGAAATATCTCTGTCTTCAGTTTGTGGCATACAGAATTCCTTAATGGCATCCGAAAACTGTTTAAAATTATCTGAACTAGAATCTGCATTCTGTTGTAGCCATATAAATTCACAAAAGTAAGAATAAAAAATATCCTCTGTAGTACCAGACTGTCGGTGGCATTTCTTTCAAAAATCTTTTTTTATTATACTTCACATACCTTCGATGGTGTAAAGGAATATTCTTTGATATCACCAAGAGATGGCGTTAGGAGTCCATCTATTGGCTTACTTA